AATGTGGCCACTGTGGCTGGCTGCAAGAAAAAGGACGCAATAAGCCACAAAAGGCCGATTCACTTGAAAATCTGTGGCAAAACCACAGTAACGAATGCCCTCAGGTGGCTTATTGCTTTAATAAACGGCAAAACAGCAATGCAATAAAAGACTATTATGTTCAGTAAGATTTATTTTTATATAATCGTAATTGAAATAAACAATCCTTTCCTGCAAGTAATATAGTTCATTAGCCTAAGGGATAACAGAGTAAAAAAAAACAAAAGTGCATTTGAGGATTTTTAACTTGATCAGGCATTTAAAAAATGTAAGTATTACTCAAAGTATTACTACCAACATGTTTTTGTATTATATTTTAATGTGCAATTTATTCCAATAATGGAAAAGCTCAATTTTCTGCAGCCATTAACATCCTTCAGAAATTATTCTAATATGCAGATTTGTTTGCTCGAAAATAATGTAGTGTTATTAATGTTGAAAATTTTAAGTCCAGCTTAAATATTTCAGTAGAAGCTGTGATACTTTTTTCAGACTAATGCATCTATCTTTTGAGTTAGGAAGGTTTTTATGTAAAAATAAAATAAAAAGAGAGAAGCAGGTGAAAAAGATGATGGAAGATGATGGCCTATTGATAATCGATAGCAAGAGAAGGTGTTAGAACCTGAAAGCAACAAATGATGAGAAAAAAAAAGTTTTAAAAGGGTAGAGTAATGGATGAAGGTGAAAAATAGAAAGGAACAAACAAAACATTAATGTAGAGGAAGAGTGGTTCAGTACATCAAGGAAAAAAAAAACTCAGGTATTGAATGAGTGAGAGATAAAAGAAAGATGGACAATGAGACGGCGAGAAAGAGAATACGCGTATGAAAAAGAGAGAGAGAGAGAGAGTCTCGGGTGGCAGATCTGTGCGTTGGCTGGCCGCCAGACACTGGAGTTCGGCCAGCTGGCAACATGCCGATTGGGGCTTCCTGGATTCAGTCCTTAAAAACAATCATTTGGACAGAGTGTGTGTGTGTGTGTGTGTGTGGGATAACATTTATTTGAGTGGGTGTACATGAGCTACTGTAACCAATTATTTTCCTCTTACTCTCTCATTTATTATGAAATATACAAACTGTCTCCATGTCTTTTCCCAGGCTAAACACACTCTCCACACACACACACAAACTCACAGTCACTGCATGCAATGTGCCAAGCCAAGCCTGGCTTCCTCCACCAGCTGGGACTTCAAAGGTGATCCCCTCTCAGTTGCTTTGAGCCAACTCCCTTGCTCTCCTTTTCTCTTCCCCTCTCTCACACAAACACAGCGCGCAGACCTACCTAACACCCTCACGCACACTCAAAGTACAAACTCTCAGAATCCTTTGCTGTTCCGACTTCACTTCTACCTGCTCCGGGCGTTTTATTAACACCCAGCGAAGCACTCAGCTGTGCGGTTAATGCCTCACACAACACTTGTTTAGAGGATTTAGAGGGCACATATGTGTGTGTGAGTGTATGCGAGAAAGAAAGAGAGACGGAATAAACGCAAGCATCCTCTGGTCAGGCACAATCGCAACCTGATGTTCCTCAGAGGGTTCACACATGGGAAAACAGGTGTCCAGGTTGCTTTTAACTTGATCATAAGGGAGTCACTTTATCTATGAGGGAAAACATGAATGGAAAAACGGGGGGAAAAAGCACAATTAAAAATCTTAATTCACTCTGAAAAACAAGCTTAGAATTAAAGGGAATGTCATTGTAAATTGTTTGATTTGCTTTTCTTCCATAGAACTCAAAATTTGATTTTTTTTTTTTTGTTTTAATATTTTGCACACTATTTTCAATATAATGGAAGTAAATGGGGAGTGTGGCAGCGCAAAAATAGTTGAAAATGTCAACAAAAAAACCCACAATAGAATTATTAAATGCAATATTCCATATATTTTGAAATCATACGATAGATGTGTGCGTGTAAACAAAACCAAAATTGAAGTCATAGTTCACTGAAGAACCGCCGTTGAGAGGTCATGTCATTATTTTAAATCAGATCTTTTCATTGATTCATCTAGTTTCACAAAACCTGATTCGTGAACATATTCATATTGGTTTTGAGAAACTGAAACGATTCAATGAAAAGAACAATTTAGTGAAACTGGATTCGGTTCTCAAATTCAGCTCAATGACTCTGCCACTTCAAATTGCCATGAAATAAAAATTCACCCTCTTTTCTAAATCTAAATCCATATTATTGATCTAATTGTGATACATCCATGCATGTTTTTCCCCCCCACCAATTCATTGATGCACAGAACCAAGTCCACACTTTCTCTTTTTCCGATACGTTGAACAAATTTTCGATTTCACTAAGACGTACATCACAACACGGAAGAAACTTATAGCTACTTCCATTACACCATAACTTTAACAGCTCACCAAAGGGGAATATTTTCAGTGTATAGATCTAATGTAGCTCCGCCCATTTTCAATGTAGATCTCATTGTGTTCTGTCTTCCCGATTGTATTTCCACAGCATGACGGTAAGATCTTACGAATTTATGAATGAACCACTCGTTTTAAACATTCATAATGACATTTACTTCAAACATTCAAATGCTCATGATAACTTTTGTTTCTTCAACAGCTAAATACTCTTCAATAGCGATGCTATAGAAATATACAGAGCTGCCCCAAAATGGAAGTCCAAACACAAAATTCAAAAATGGCTGCACGTTTCTCTGGTGCATGAGGTCTATAACAACTAAAATGTCAATATATTTACCACAAGCTATAATATGATATGACAGGTGTCATGTGGGACACTTTTATGGTGCTTTTATGTTCTTTTTGGAGCTTGACAGTCACTATTTATACTGGCTTAGAAAAGAGCATCGTAAACTTCGATCTTAGTATCGGCAAAATAACTATTTGTGTTCCATGGTAGAGAAAAAACATGTTCTGAATATTTTGAGTGTAACCGTTTGTGTCAACTCAATATCTTGTGTTTTCTGTTTGGAAAACACACACAACTCTGGTTTTTGTGGACGGTTGGGCGTTTAGGTATCTGGTTATCAGTTAGGTTGAGCCAGCATGTCTCACTGTTGGCTTATTTCTATGATTTGACTACAAACACACGTTCTCTCACACAAACACACTGACACACACACCTGACCGGGAGAGATAAAGGAGGCACTGAAAAGTGTTGCCTGACCACAAACTGTTCATAGCCAAAAGAGGAGCCGAGGGGCCAAAAGGCAGAGAGGACACACACACACACACACACACACACACACACATGCTCAGCAGGGTCCGGAAGCCAGCAACTCCCTGTGGTGATGCTTCTAACCATCGGCATCTCTCAGTTAAAACCGCATTCACGTACCCACACAAATCCACACACAGATGCACAGCCCGTGTGTGAGTGTCGGTTGTCTGAGCAGGAAGTAGACCGTTGCAGTTGGGTTTAACCGTAAGGGTCACGAGACCCCTGGGCCTGGATGAGGAAACCCCACATCAACCCCCCAAAAGAGTGAGCCTTTAATGTTGAGCCTCACATTGCAACGTCTCTTGGCAGCCGGGTGTCTGCGCGGCCATTGTGACCAGCTCAACTTCCCCATGAAATCCCATTACAATGATGCTCAAAAGCATTTCCTAGCCTTTTTCTTTTTCTTTTTTGCTTTTAGGTAATTTACTAAATTGCCCACAGACATTACCGCACCATCCTCATAAAGTTAATGAATATTAATTAACAATTTCCTGGACCGCACAGGAGAACCCGCTGCATCCAATCAACTAACGCTTTTCTCTCCTGTCCTCCCCCCTTTCACCCCCCTGGCCTAATGGGTCAGGTGGGGCGTCACATCATCGGTAGCTGGACCGTCTCCAGGGGAACGGGGCTGGGGTAATTGCATGGCTCGATTTGATGACATGCTTTTTATGCAAATGAAGTAGGGAGTGCAGGGACACGGCTGGGGGGGAAACGGAGCCATCCAATCAGTTGCTGCAAGCGGCTAAGCACAATTAAAGACTGATTCGGATAATGAGCGCTTATCATCACGATGGGGCCGTTATAGACACATTCAGTTATTAATATTATTGCTATTAGTTTTATTATTATTATTTTAATGGTGATAATCAGAAGCACCATCATTATATTTATGATTATTGTTATTGTTGTAGGTTATTGATGGTTTATATAAAGCTCTTTGCACAGAAGAATATGCACTAGGTCAGCTACGGCGCCACGTTTTTTTTCCTCTCCCTCTAACTCTCTCATTCTGTCTCGCACGCGCAGATTTGTTCAGTCATTCAGTTACAGTAGCGCTGGGTGCCAGCAGTAACACCACTGTGTTCGCTGCCAACCACAATTACTGTTCCATTCTGCCAGCTGCCAAGAGCTCCGCAGATACAGAGCAGTTAACCCGCACCGATACACACACACACACATACACTTGTACGCGGTGCTACATGAATCTGTGAAAATACCAATAGCAAGTGCTCAGCTGTGCATAATCTTTAAAAAGAACAGGCGTGTGCGACACAAACACACACTACACTCAGACACACACTAAAGGCATACACATTTATTTAAAGATCTAGAAATGTTTAAAAGAACATATTGCACATTATGGACAAGGCAGTCTAAATTACTAAATTAAAACATAAGCGCACGGAGTGCACATTAGGGGAAAACAAAATTACGAATCTGAAATTAGGTAAAGAGTACACTAATATAGCACAGCACACTGAATCTTAAGTGAGCGTTTGTCCATGTTAGGTTATGACCGATATAGAAAGCATGCTGGGTACTTATACAAGACCAGTATAGAAGAATAGGACAGTATAGTTAGAAAAAGGTCTAGAACAATATATAGAATTTTATATAGACAGACTGACAAAACAATAAGACAGAATAGATAGATAGATAGATAGATAGATAGATAGATAGATAGATAGATAGATAGATAGATAGATAGATAGATAGATAGATAGATAGATAGATAGATAGATAGATAGATCACCTTCATGTGAGTGGGAGAACCAGATCTGTGACGGGGCAGTGGAGTGAGGTCCAGAGCGATAGGGTGGAGAAGAGGGGGATGATGGGGGTCCGGTGGGATGGGAGGGAGGAGATCCCAGACTGCTGGCCAGAAATGTTCCCATGAAGGAGGCAGGGGAGTTCCCTATCAGTCCACTTCCTGCAGGACAAAATTAAAAAAAATGGTTACAAATCAGACAAATCGACCCAATTATTGAATTACTGAAAATTATGTAGTGGACCTCCACAATTACAGTGCAGCCGTTACAAAGAGGAAAATACATGAGGATTATTTTCAGCCTAAAACAATAATTGTAACCAAATTAGACAATTACAGTGCAATTGTGGGGAGAACTATAACTAAAAAAAGAAAAAGAGAGAGAGTTTGGTAGCATAAGCATGCAGACACCATGCCCATGATGAAGTCCCTGTGATCACTCTGCTGTAGCTTCTCTCTCTCTCACACACACACACACACACACACTTTGCAACAAGACCTCAAAAGAGAATGAGAAACAGGCAGTAATTCACTCTAATCCAAATAATCATTACCACAGCACACCCAAAATTGGGTGTCTGTCTGTCCAGCCAGCAGGGACAAAATAATGCTAAATGCAAGGAACAAACGGCAACAAACCACAGTTCGCACAGAAAACAACAGACTCTTAAAGCTGTCCAAATATAAATTCTGGGTCCTGAAGCAAAACCATGTTAAGAACCACTGGCCTAAATCACCCCAAAAAACACAAAAAAAGAGTGTAAAAAGATGGTGTTGAATGATAATAAGGAAACATTTGATCGAAGAGCATCAAAGTGGTTTAACTTTATTCTTTCCTGATGGAAAATGTGCAAGATTTATACATTCAAACCAACAAGGGTTAAATTAAACCCACAACACATGCACAGTATACAAACCACATGGATTAGTCATTACATTTCCAACACATCATCTCTATATATAGATATATTGTTATTTTTTCAACAGAAAGAAACAAAGCGAATTTGCAACACTCCAATAAGTTTGATTAACCTGCATGCTACAGAGGCTCGGCTGTAATACATTTCAGACATAATATAATTTAAAGATAAGGCAGCTCACCGAAAATGATTCACACGTGGTGTGTTACAGCATATAGAATCATCAAACCAGCTTATTAAACATGGAACTTAATAGAACAAATTGCGCTTATGACGATCTCTGCACAACATTTATAAGATTAACGACAGTGAATTCTGTGCTGATGAAAAAACACACACACTGTTGTTAGTTTCAGCGTACCGCTGTGGTTTCCTGTGCGTCTTCCCTTGACAAAGACCCTGCCCTTGTGTCCTCTAAAACAACCAACACCACCAATTAAACAGCGAGGTGAAGGCGAGTGCGGTTTCATTTCCTAAACTGATAAAAGTTAATTAACGTGGGTGAGAGGGATGAGGTTAAGGAAGACGTTTATGGGTGTGAAATTACTAAATGAGTGCTCTCACAAGATAAACAGAGCACCAGGCCAGAGCTCAAGCCCTAGGCGAAAAATGACAGCAAGTAGGAAAAAAAAATAAAGAAAGCAGGAAAAGACCAGCGGAATTACAGGTCTGGAAAGATGTTAGGCCACTGGAGCCGGGGTGGATGCTGGGATCACAGCCGTCAAGACAGTTTGTCTCTGCTCACCCACTCACTCGCCTCAGGATGAAAGTAGCCTTTTTTGCGCTGGTCTAGGAACAGTTTCCCGCTACATGAAATGGTATAATCTAAGCTGCAGAATTCCCCGCACACATTACAGCCGTCTTCTCCCAAATATCCCAACCCACTTCCAATGGCTTCCATTCCCGAAATTAAAGGACTGTACACTATTCACCATGCATTATGGGTGTGGTCTCCACAATTCTGGGTTAGGTCAACAGTTAGGACACAATATAAGACTGAGAAAGTGTATATATGTAGTGTGTGCGTATGCATTCAATTTCGTCAAGATTTTCCTCGTGTCACATTTATTAATCATAGTCAATTTTACTCGGACTAAAAAAGCATCTAATTTTACAGACATTTTGACACAAAATAAGTAGTTGACGAGAAAATGAAATCATTTTTATGATTTATATATTCATTTAACCCCTTGACTGTCACCGTCCCACGCTGAACCCTCAGTTTTTTTTCATGCCAAGTGTTCTAAAGATTGCATCCATTCAATTATTTTAGAAAAAAAAAGGTCTGAAAATGTTTTAAATATAAAGAAAAAAATAATAAATTTACCATTTGTGATGTGGCAGGAAGCTATAACGCAAATGCGTGTTCTTTGTATGTGTTTCTTAGAGGTTGAATTCATATCAAAATCTGACAAACTTCCCATACTACTTCTGAATAGGATGTCTACTTCATAAATTGTATGAAAATAATGGTTCATGTCACTCAAAAACACATATGGAAATGGAGGCGCCCTTACATGGGCAGTAATGGAGTCTGGTTGTGGTACTGCGCCCAAACAAAATCTCACTGAAAGCTCATTTTTTTGAGATATCAACCTAAAATTTTAAACACAACTTGTTCAGATTTTTATTTTTTATTTTTCTGCAGTTTTAGATTTGAAAATATATATTTTATATAAAATATGAATATTTTTTTCCATTGTACATTTCCATAAACTTAAACTTCTATAACTTTTTTCTGTTTCACTTTCTTAATTTCACTTCAACAAAAACCTGCCAAATGTCTTCTTTAAAATAAGACCAATCTTACGTCTACATTCCAAAGCATTCTTGAATTACAACCATTTAAATTCGAAATGTGCATTTCCATGTCTATTCAAAAAAGGGGGGTGACAGTTAACAGGTTAAACTAGATTTTCTTTTAAAAATATTAAAAAACATAAAATATGTTGCGTTTTCATCTTATATTTTGATTAATTTTTCACCTCCACAAAATAAAATTTCAATAACTTACATTTTCACCCAATATTTTTGTAAAGTTTATATTTTAATTTCAAGTTGACATTTTTCATTTTGAACATTTCTTCAATAAACATTTGTCAGTAATATTGTTGACAAGATTCACATATTATATTAAACTAGCTTGTCAAATTAGTCTTGTTTTTTACCTCATATTTTCAGAAACTACTTCTAATTAAAATCGATGTACATTGTTTATTCAAAAAAAATTAATATAATTGATGAGATTAACACTAAATCTTTAGGGAAAACAATGGAAAAACACAGCAGCTGCTCATTCAGCCCTGAACTCCTAGAGACATGGTAAAGCTCGATCTATGATAAATTCAAACTGACCGAATGAAAGCAGGGAGAAAGGGATCCCAGATCCACCCTTATGTGAACCTAAATACTCCTACATGATTCAACCATCTTGTCGCCATTGGCATCCTGGTGGCCTCAACCTCAGACAGCACAACCACAGACTGAATAGTCTGAACACAACTGGAAAGCACATCGAAAACTCACAGCAACAGCCATGCAAGTTCAGTGTACACAGGTCCAGCTTGGAGAGTAACAAAACAGTGTTTACAAGGCACTGGATTAATATTATGAGAGCTTGAGAGGAAGAACAAATCACTGGATTTAATCTAAATAGCACATGGAGACAAAAGTGAACTGTATGTAGCTTTCGATTGTCGTTTTTTGGCCAAAATATGCAGTAAAGTGGACCAGACTTTATGTCACAGGTCTGATTTGCACTACACCCGCCATCTGAACAGCACATAAAGCCCTCGCTCCTTCTCTCCTCTACGCCCTCCGCCAACTTCCCTTTAATAAAATGTTTCCTCTTATTTGCTTTGCTTTATTGACTTTTTTCTCTTTTTTTTCCCCTCCGTCTCGAGCCCGCCGTGGGCCGAGCGTCAGCTGCAAGAGCAGAAATTATTGCTTGCGCCCATCCTACTAACTTCCCCCCGACTTCCACCACTTCTAATAAACCAAACTGCAGAAATGATATGCTGTTGATACATGAACAGTGGGATTGGAGGAGAGGAAAGGATGGTGGGAGGTCTAAAAAGAAATGTAGCTGCCAAAAAAAGCCCAAACAGCATGTGCGGGGAGGCGCGCTGAACCTGGGGAAGCCCAGTCACTGTGAAAAAACAACAGCGACAGAGTCATTACAGCGGGAATACAGTGAGCTATAAAGGATGATGCTGTCTTGTCAGGCAGATCCCCAAAGGGAATGTGTGTTTATTTATGTCCGTGGTGCGAAACACGGCTGAACGAGAGAGAGTGACTCTTGCGCGAGCGCTTAAGGAAATCGGGTCATGTGCATACTAATCGCCTGATTCCAGGCTCAGAGCAACATTAATCCAATTAAGGAATTAAAAGGAAGAATCCCGAAGAGTGGGAGTCTCGAGTGTGTCTGCCACACACAAATACACACTCACGTAACTGCCAATTGCACAAGTGCATGTTCAGCCTTGTCATCAAATGAGAGTCCCCCAGCGCTGCCCTTTAGTGGAACAAGACATGTGTGTGTGTGTGTGTGAGAGAGAGAGAGAGAGAGAGAGAGTATGATGTGAGGGAAAAGAGTCAAGTCAGAGGTTTGGATTATGTGTTACTTGTTTAAGTCAGCGATCCAAATGAAGTGCAATCCATCGGCACACACAACAGCTCCAGGTTCTAATGGGTCTGTGTGTGTACATTGCAACAGCTGTCTCTCTCTCTCTCTATGTCTCTCTTCACAGGAGGATGTTTATGTCTACTGGTGCTGAGTACTCAGTTCAACAGACAGAGATAACACAAGTGCTGCTCCAACTATAGTGGAGGAGAGAATAGAGAAGTAAGAGTAACAGAAACAAACTCAACATATTTTACATGTACCTAAACCATATACATTTTTCAAATTATATATTGGTAAATACATATATATACACACATACATTCAAATTTAAGAACAACAGATATCCCTGCAGAGATTAAACGTGTAAACATGAGTGATCGAGCTGTAAGCAAGCCCCAACTGTAAATATCACACACACACACACACATCTTGTAGCTCCATTAGTGTGAGAACTGGAACATGTCTTATATGGAAGAGCTAGTGGAGGAGGGGCATGCGATACGAGACTTCATATTACGGGTTTTGTCAGGGGAGTGGTTACCGTATATGTGTGTGTGAAGTGAGGGAATGTTTACACAGCTGGGTTCCACGCTCTCACACAACCCCACATCTTACTG